GGGCTCTGCAACTTTCCTGGCTGCTTGTTCCTCGTGGGCCGACTGAGGGCTGCTGGGAGCAGGGGGCGGGGCTTGTTGCATGTGCCCGCCCCCTGGGCTCCTTACTGCCGGAGCTCCGCTCCTGTGCGCTCCCGCAGGAAATGACCCCTGCCCACGATCAAGGAGCTTCATGGCCGAGCAGGCATCCAAACCCAGCCTGAGTCGACCATTCCAGCTCTCCAACACACCCCTTGCTGAAAGAATCCTGCAGTGAGAAACTTCACCTTAACACCTTTTATTTCTTTAACCAAATGTGGCTGCCCATGTGAAGCCTGCACGTGGAAGGATACCAGACGCAGACAGAAGAGTTCCGATGGACCTCTTTCGCGGGGGCTCTGATCCCACCCAGGAGATGCCTGGCTGACACCCCCTTCTCCCCACCCCACCCCACCCCCGGATGCCCAGCCCTCACCTCTCTTTGCTGGAAAAGTCCACGCCCAGCAGGATGTTCTCCTCCGTATCTTGGCGCCCGGTGCTGTAGACGACCACCATGTACCTCACTCGGTCTGCCCAGGCACTCTCCAAGCGCACAGCCTGGAAAACAGCACAAAGGTCCTGGCCGTTTGCTCCTCCGCCATGGCCCCTTTGATGAGCCACATTCTGCTTCGTTCAAGTCACAGGGGTATTTCTCCTCAGGCCGGTCTCCTGCCCAGCTTCCCACAGGTGTCTTATTCGTTTGCTTGGGTGAGGCAAAAGAAGATTATCGTATCCAGTCAGGATCCCACGAGGGGGATGGAAATTTTCTGCTGGACAGTTTGCCAAGGGACAGGAGGAGGAGATTGGATTTATACCCTGCCTTTCACTCGGAGTCTCAGAGCGGCTTACAAACTCCTTTCCCTTCCCCTCCCCACAACAGACACCCTGGGAGGTAGGTGGGGCTGAGAGAGCTCTGAGAGAACTGCTCCTGGGAGAACAGCTCTGACAGAACTCTGGCTTGCCCAAGGTCATCCAGCAGGTGCAAGTGGAGGAGTGGGGAATCAAACCCGGTTCTCCCAGACTAGAGTCCGCGCACTTAACCACTGCACCAAAAGATAGTCTCCAGCAGCTATGTGAACAGGAGGTCAAGGCTGTTGGGGTTCACAGGGGCCACTGTCTGGAACGGCGCTTGAAAGACAATGAGAAGCCAGTGCAGGTGCCCGGCCTGGTTTTCAGTGAAACTCGCTGCAATTAAACTGAGCGCCAGGTTGCAGCTTAAACCTGGCCTGGAAAAACAACTAGATTTGAGTCCACTAGCACATGGAGAGCCCGTTTGGTGTAGTGGTTAACAGGAGCGCGGACTCTAATCTGGGAGAACCGGATTGGAGTCCCCACTCCTCTACATGCAGCTGCTGGTGTGACCTTGAGTCAGTCACAAGTTCTTTCAGAGAGCTGTTCTCTCATGAGCAGTCCTGGAGAGAGCTCTCTCAGCCCCACCTACCTCACAGGCAGTGTTCCCTCTAAGCTGAGTTAGTGTGAGCTAGCTCACAGTTGTTTAGCCTCCGGCTCACACACTTTTGTCTCAGCTCAGGAAGGATCGCTCCAGAGCAAACTCATTGATGCAGTAGCCAAATGGCTCGCTCACAACTTTAACACCAGCAGCTCACAAGGTAGAATTTTTGCTCACAGGACTCCACAGCTTAGAGGAAGCATTGCTCACAGGGTGTCTGTTGTGGGGAGGGGGAGGGGAAAGGAGATTTTAAGCCGCTCTGAGACTCCTTCGGGTAGTGAAGGGCAGGGTATAAATTCAATCTCTTCCTCCTCTTCTTCACATTAGGGACCAACAGGGCTTTTTTTTTGTAGAAAAAGCCCAGCAGGAACTCATTAGCATAATAGGCCATACCCAACAGCAGGAGCTCATTAGCATATTAGACCACACCCTGACAGCACACCTCATTCGCATATTAGGCCACACCCCCGTGTTACCAGAAGTGTGGTCATCCAGCCACACCCACCTATTGCTTCTTATTCTCTTTACCTTGTTTGTTGTCCAAACCCAGGGCTTTTTGCATGTTAGGCCACACACCCCTAATTGTAGCCAGTCCTAATGAGTTTCTGCTGTTGGGTGTGGTCTATTATGCTAATGAGTTCCTGCTGGGTGTGGCCAACTTGGGAGCCAGCCGGAACTCCGTTCCTGTGCGTTCCTGCCCAAAAATAGCCCTGGGGACCAACAAGATTTTCGGGGCATACATTTTTGAGAGTCAGAGCTCCCTCTGTCAGATAAACTGACCAGCAAGGTTACTCTGAGGGCGGCGAACGGCTTTGGAGACCACTCCGTAACGCACCCTGTCTGAAGGTTCAGGCCTTAAAACCAAGGGGAAACAGGGGAGGACCTCTTACCAGTTTGATTCTGTCTTCACACCGAAGGAGGTTGATCATCACCTGCAGGTGCTGCGGCAAGTCACCTGTGGGGAATAATCCATCTGTACCGACACAGCCTCTTGCCTGATGCCGTAACGGTCCCCAGCAGCCCAAGAAACACTGGATTTAATCTCAGTGACTTTGCACACATACACCCCACTGGCCTTAAAGGAGAGAAGCTCCCTGAGCTAAGCCCAAGGATGAAAGCTGGTTGGCCTCGTCTTGACTGCAAGCTTTAAAAAGCCCCCCCCCACACCCCCAAAAAACAACTCTATTCCAAGCGTGGCAGGCAAGCCCCAGGCCCACCGCGAGTCCCGAGCAGGGCCACGGCAACCCTTCCTTCTCCCAAAGGCTAAAGATAGTGGTATCACAGTGGCCCACTTTTCCGCTGGCGATCAGAAAGAATCTCATTACGCAGGCAGGTGCAAAGGGCCATCTGCAACCATAAGGTCAGTCGCAGTTCAGCCATTTGGCTGCTGCGCCAGCCCACAAGATAAAAACTTCTCTCTGTGGGGTGATGGCGCAGGCTGTGAATCTGCCGACGGCGGGAGTAATCTGAAGCTGAACTGTCACACAGACAATACTGAGCCATGCCCCTTCCTACGGGCTCTCTCTCCCTCTCTCTCTTTATGGCCCGGTTCTCCCTTCACTCTCCCCACAGGGGAAGAATGTGATGTATGAAACTGATCTACAGCTCAAGACCAAATAGTCATTGATCTGATTTCCCCCCCTCAATGGCTGCTTCCGTATGAAGGTTTTTCTCTGCCTTGGCTTACAAACCGGAGCACTTTCTTGGAGACTCCACATAATAATCTTTCTCTTTCTAGGTTTTCCCTATCCTCAGTAAGGATAGGGAAACCCGCTTTATTTAGATGCTTGGGGGGGGGGGGGAAGCAATCCAAGCATTTTATGTGGAAGACAGAGTGCACATCTTCCCGCTGTGAGCCACTTGTGGGGACCACTCTCCCATCCTTTTTCCCCGTCATACCACAGTGGGGCTTTTTGCTGTTTTTTCTTTTCTTCTTTAAAAAAAAAACAGTAATTGCTATTGCCACTTATTTGAAATTTTACTTCCCCTGAATACCCAGTTTTCATTTTTTTTTTAAAATGAGGCCTGTCCTTTTTGTTGTGGAGATATAAGGGGAAAGTTGCAGGCAATTTCTGTCCTAATTGTCTGGAAAGGAAAGCGGAAAGGAAGCTGGAAGACTACTGCTTGTATTCTGTACTGTGCAAAATTCCAGCATGCGGAAGCTCCTTGTTCAGGGCACAGGCCTCTGCAATCTGTAGTGGCAATGAAAGCAACGCAGAGAACCCTTGCTGTGTGAATACAGCCGACATGTATTTGACCCAGGCTGCCAAATGCAAGCTGTAACTGCCAACCAAGGAATGCATTTCACTGCGATGACATTTACCTGCGTGTTTGTGAGTTTGAGGAAGAGTCCGTGGGCCTTGCGGGCTGTTGCCTTGCTGAAGAAACAACGCAGCGCCTTTCACCATAAAAAAGCTTTCGCTCAGGCTGGAAAATAAATGGAAACAGGGATCAGGCAGGTCACGGAACAGGAAGAAAAACAATTTCGTGTGATCACAACAGCAAGCGTACACCATGCGTGGTGCACACATGTCCTCCTCCCAAAGTAGAGGGCCTGCGAGAGTGAATTGTTTAAAACATTTAGTCAAGCACCACAAATATTTTGGGTCCCCAAATAAGAAAGAAGTAGGTATGACATGCTTCTGCTATTTCTGGAAGTTGCGGGACAGGACGACTGTGGCTTTTGTTTGCAGTACTGCTGGAAAGCCCCTGCAATACCCCAAGAGCTACGAAGTCTAAAGATTAAACATAATGACTGACTGCTCTCACGGGCGGAGGGTGCTTCTCTGATAGCAGACGGCTTTAAAGGCAATTCAGGGCTCTAGTTAAACGCATTCTGTGCAATCTTCCGACAGTTACGTATCTGGCTGCTACAGAAGTTGTTTTCACAGGAGAGGATGTGACCCTTCAAAAACATTGCGTTATGAAGCTCTGCAATTTAAGAACACGCATGCCTCTGTGCTTCTTAGCATACTGATTTCAAGCTGCCCTAAATGTAGATGATACTCTGGAATTTAAAGATGAATTTCACATAAGAACATAAGAGATGCCAATGTTGGATCAGGCCAAAGGCCCATCCAGTCCAACACTCTGTATCACACAGTGGCCAGAAATACCAGTGCCATCAGGAGGGCCACCAGTGGGGCCAGGACATTAGAAGCCCTCCCACTGTTGACCCCCCCAAGCACCAAGATGACAGAGCATCACTTGCCCCAGAGCCCCTATCTATACCTTGTGGCTCATAGCCACTGATGGACCTCTGCTCCATATGCCTATCTAATCCCCTTTTGAAGCCGTCCATGCTTGTAGCCGCCACCACCTCCTGTGGCCGTGAATTCCATGTGTGAATCGCTCTTTGGGTGAAGAAGTACTTCCTTTTATCTGTTCTGACCCGACCGCTCAGCAATTTCATGGAGTGCCCACGAGTTCTTGTACTGTGAAAAAAGGAGAAAAGTACCTCTTTCTCTACCTGCTCTTTCCCATGCATAATCTTATAAACCTCAATCATGTCACCCCTCAGTCGTCGTTTCTCCAAGCTAAAAAGCCCTAAGCGCCTTAACCTTTCCTCATAGGAATTATATTGTTTAAAGCGCATCACGGGATAAAAACAGAAATCCAGTAAAACGTATGCGATCCACGAGGAAATTCTTCCACGAGCTCTGTGGATGGGATTTGGACACGAATGCCTCCCCACCACCACACACACACACCTCCCACTGGTGTCACTGGACCAGCGCAACCCTCAATGCATGCGAGGGAGAGATGCTACCGAGTGCCACCGCACCCAATTTGGGCTACCTGGGCCAGAAGCAGCAGCAGCTCTCCAAGATCGCCTGCAGGCAAAGCCTCGTTGGTTAAGACAGGAATGCAAGAAGTGAACCTGGACCTTTCTGCACACAGGACAAGGGCTTTTCCACTGAAAAAACCAAGAGCTCAGTCAGCTTGGAATTCTCACTGCACAAGACCCAATGATACCAACGGGACACACCGCAGCAATGCTCCCTCTAAGCTGCGGAGCCTTGTGAGCAAAAATTCTGCTTTGCGCACCACCGGCATTCAAGTTGTGAGCGAGCGATTTGGCTACTGCATCAATCAGTTTGCTCTGGAGCTAAAACAAAAATGTGTGAGCTGGAGGCTAAAAAAACTGTGAGCTAGCTCACACCAACTCAGCTTAGAGGGAACACTGCGCAGCAGCCTATGTCCCTCTGAGCACAAGCCCTGTTTCTGCCTGTGATCTTGGGAAGCAGACCTTCCCACCAGACCATCCTCAACCACTGCAGCGCGATGAAAAGCACTTCTGCTGAAAATGCAGTATGGGGGGAAAGCAGAAGGGTGGGGTTGTTGTTCTTGTCCAGTCGCACAGTTGAGTCTGACTCTTCGCGACCCCATGGACCAGCTCCCGCCAGGCCCTCCTGTCTTCCGCCGTCCTCTGAAGTTGGCTCAATTTCATGTTCGTTGCATCTATGACACTGTCTAACCATCTCATCCTTTGCCGTCCCCGTCTTCGTTGACCTTCAGTCTTTCCCAGCATCAGGGTCTTCTTCTCCAGTGAGGGCTCCCTTCTCATTGGGTGGCCAAAGTATTTGAGCTTCAGTTTCATTATCTGGCCTTCCAGGGAACAGTCAGGGTTGATTTCTTTTAGGATTGACTGATTTGAGCTCCTTGCAGTCCAAGGGACTCTCAAGAGTCTTCTCCAGCACCATAGTTCAAAAGAATCTATTCTTCGGCGCTTGGCCTTCCTTCTAGTCCAACTCTCGCAGCCATACGTGACTACTGGGAATACCATTGCTCTGACCATGAGGACTTTTGTTGGCAGGGTGATGTCTCTACTTTTTATCATGCTGTTTAGGTTTGCCATCACTTTCCTCCCAAGGAGCAGGCGTGAAATGGAGAGGGTACTTGATCTCTTTCACTCCTCAAACAGCTGTGTTGTGACGCGTCCCAAAGCTCAGGGCCCCCCACCAACGCTCCCTCTGAGCTGTGGAGTGTTGCGAACAAAAATTCTACCTTGTGAGCTGCTGGCATTCAAGTTGGGAGCGAGCGATTGGGCTGCTGCATACATTAGTTTGCTCTTCTGGAGCCGTCCTTCCTGAGCTGAGACAAAAATGTGTGAGCCGGAAGCTAGAAAACTGTGAGCTAGCTCACACTCTCTCAACTCAGAGGGAACACTGCCCCCTACCAACCCCAATCGACTAACAGAGACTTCATTTTGGAGGGAGGGAGCTGAGACAAAGTGTATGGTGAGTTTCCAGGTAAGAGGTGAACCCAGGCCAGGACCCACAGTTCAAGATCCAAGCAGCCAGGACACTAGGAGCCCTCCCACTCTTGCCCCCACCCCCCCAAGCACCAAGAATACTGAGCATCACTTGCCCCAGAACAAGAGTTCCTATAAGAACATAAGAGAAGCCAGTGTTGGATCAGGCCAAAGGCCCATCCAGTCCAACACTCTTGTCACACAGTGGCCAGAAATACCAGGTGCCATGAGGAGGTCCAGCAGTGGGGCTGGGACACTAGAAACCCTCCCACTGTTGCCCTCCCCCCAAGCACCAAGAATACAGAGCATCCCTTGCCCCAGCTGGAGAGTTCCTATCTGTACCTTGTAGCTAATAGCCACGGATGGACCTCTGCTCCAGATGCTTATCCAGTTCCCTCTTGAAGCCGTCCATGCTTGTAGCTGCCACCACCTCCTGTGGCAGTGAATTCCGTGTGTTCCATCACTCTCTGGGTGAAGAAGGACTTCCTTTTATCCGTTCTAACCTGACCGCTCAGCAATTTCATGGAGTGCCCACTTGAGTTCTTGTATTGTGAGAAAGGGAGAAAAGGACTTCTTTCTCTACTGCTCTGTCCCACGCAGAATCTTGTAAACCTCGATCGTGTCACCCCTCAGTCATCAGTATGGGGTACAAAGAACACCGCCCTCACAGCTGAGAGACTGCTATGTAAATGTAACGAAACTGGCCAAAAGGCATGCAGTGGTTCACAGCCTTGGAAACAATGCGGAGACCATCATTAGCAATCCCACGCTGAGAAAAGACACGATGTGAAAACATCCCCCGGGTCAATACCCTGCGAGCCACAGTGACCCGTGAGCACAGAGTAACTTCAGAGAGGCGAAGTCACAGCGGCAAAGCGATGAAGGGCTTCCTCTTTCCCCATTAACCACAAAGTCTGACGGGCAATCTTTCTCAGCATTTCCTGCCATTCTAAGACTGGGGGATGCACAATTCCTGTTTATGATAAGGAGTGGGGGGGGGGGAGAAACGCCAGCTGCCCGCAAACTGTAACGCTGCATTGTCAAGCAACTGTGAGATCAGTTAAGCCAGATCTAATGAAAGGGAGGACCGCCGGATCCCGTGGCCACAGATTCACTGGTGCAGACAAAGACATCTGAGATGTTTCAAGCTATCTATAGCATCTTGCTGGAAAGATATCTCCCCCCCTAACATTCAAACTTGGTACAAGAAGCTGTGGAATCAGTTCATTATGGAAAGCATCACTGATAAAGTTAACAGAAATAAAAGGAACGTCGTACATTTTGGGTTCGAAGCTAAATGGTTGCCAATTTTAGAAGCTCTATCAGACAAAAAATTTATCTCAGCATCCTGGGATAACTATGTTAAATGGTTGTGAGGATTTTTTATGGTTCAAATAAAGTATAGTAAGTAGGCTTTGGTAAAACTTGATTTGTGAGTAGTACTTTGTGTTTAATAGGACTAGATATATCATTGAATGTCTACAGATATTCTTGAGGGCAGAAGACACTTGGTTGTATCTAAAGCAACAAACAGTACAGGCATCAATTACAAATTGAGGCTAAAATAAGTTACTTTGTTCAAAGATTTATTGAAGAATGTATCATTCTTTAAAGCTTACTTTTTTGTAATTAGTGTGTTGGTTTGAATGTATAACTGTTCTTATGACCTTTATGTATATTTTTATTGTTATATTTGTTTTATTGTTTTAATCCTACCAATAAAATGTTAATGAGAAGAAGATGAGATGTTTCAAAGGACTTGTGGAGAGCAAGAAATGTTCATCGTATTTGAAACGCCGTTCCTGAACCTCAGGGGTGACCGTGGACAACACGTTCCCTCTGCCAATGATTCACTGACTCAGACCCCCAACGTACCCCTTTATGAGCAGGCTTGGAGTGAGGTCGCGGGCAGTATGGCCGAGGCTGTCCTTTGGACCCACCGAGCAGATCGCTGAAGACCAATGTTCCCTCTAAGCTGTGGAGTCTTGTGAGCAAAAATTCGACTTTGTGAGCGACTGGCATTGAAGTTGTGAGCGAGCGATTTGGCTCCTGCATAAATGAGTTTGCTCTGGAGCCCATCCTCCCTGAGCGAAGACAAAAATGTGTGAGCCGGAGGCTAAAAAATTGTGAGCTGGCTCACACTAACTCAGCTTAGAGGGAACACTGCTGAAGCCCATCCTGCCACACAAGCGTACCAACTGCCTGCAAGATATTTTCCCTGGTTATTGCCCCAAGATACCACTAATTAAAGAGAAACCCAACTAGGTTTGCTTCGGTCTTTCTCAGTGGCACTCGTTTTGCACACACCACTCCAAAAGAAAGCGGTGTTTTTTAGACTTCCGAAAGCCAGAAAGCGTCCCTTAAGAAAACAAGCCACTACCAACAGGCTAAACAACGCCGAGAAAACACAAAAGCAAGCAAAGTTTTTAAAAGGGGGGGGAGTGTTGCATACATACTACTTTGGACGGGATTTCTTTGCACAGCAGAAGCATCGTGCCGGCCCAAAAGACAGGCAGAAGTCAGCGAAACCAGAAAGGCTCATAACCAACTGTTGGGACTTGGGAGTCACATCCTTTCGCTTCCGAACACTTTTGGCAGAACAAAAGAAGAGGAGAAAGGCCGACCAGTTAAGACAGAAATCTCCAAGTCTGTTGATGCTACCCAGGAACTGATGACTTCTACAGAATGCTTAGCTCCCCCCACAATATCCTGGCTGGAAAGCACGCTGGCCCTCACAGATCCCGATGAAAGAGAGCCTTTCAAAACGGTTGTGTGTGTGTGTGCGCGCGCGCATCCCGTCATTGACCTCCTACAGTCTTCTTCTCGAACTCTGTAAGACGCCGTGTCTCCCATTATCAGCAAGAGGACAGAGAAACAGCTGGGCTCCAAACTCTTTTGGACCTCGCTAGATTAAAAAGCGTCACACTGACAGATGAATGATTGGTGTTATTTTTTTAAAAAGCCCTCCATAACATACCAATACAGTGAAACAGCCTCAAGGAAGTCTGTGCTATGTTAGATTTCACCTCCCGTATTTCCTCACTGGACGTGATTTCAGGGGCAGTTAAGGCACACGCGAGGCTGTTTTTACACACATAACACACAGAGTTTAATGTTCTCGTATCAACACGTGCTGGTAACCGAAGAGGCAAGCTTGTCAGTGAAACCACAGTCCTCATTGCTGGGCAGAAATCTTTGCCAGCGGCATTCTTGACTGAAGCCACAAATGCTGAGGGAGAGATTCCATTCCTCGAAGAGCCATTCGGTCATTTCAACAGTCTTTCCTCCACAAATAAAGCAAGCCGGTTAGATAGCTTGGTGGAGTCTATCCTTTGGGCTGA